CTTTTTATAATGTTTGGTACGTAAATTTTATGTTTTTTATTTGTTCTTATTTTATTATTATTATTATTATTAAAGTTAGAACAGCAGGCGGCAATGCCGCTTTGCTGTTTTTAAAGTCACAGTAAAATTAAATAAATATATAATAGATATCACAGATTTTCTTTTATCACAATATATCACATTGAAAAGATTTTCTCAGGCTCAGCCTATCCAGAGAGTTTTAAAATTTGTTTTGTTGTCTGAGGTTATGACTTCTCCTGGGAGCTTATTTCACATACTTACCACTCTGTTTGTCAGGAAATTTATTCGCCAAAGTTTCTCACTTTTTTCAGTTTGCAGTTTTAGGTTGTGTCCACGTAAATAATTGTTCTCATTTCTTATGTAAACACTGCCAAGCTCCACTGAGTAGTACCCATGCAATATTTTGTGTGTTTCTATGCGGTCCCCTCTAAAACGTCGCTCTTTAAGGGTAGTTATGTTCAGAACATCGAGTCTATCCTCATATGATTTGTTATGGAGAGTGTTAAGGCAGTTTAGTAGCATGTCACTGAACTCTCTTCAGAAAATCAATATCCATGTTGAAATATAGGGACCAGGCTACTACTGCATGCTCGAGAACTGGTCTGATATAGGATTTATACTTTATACATCATCAGAAACATCTCCTCAGTGATATGACTAAATGACAGCCTTATTAGATAGATCGTAGTATTTGCTTGTTCACTATCTTTTTAACCTGTGTTGCCCATTTAAGGTCTAATGCAATGGTGACTCCTAAGTAATTCTGTTTGTAGCTGCTAATTTGTTATTGTGGAGACTATATTCAAGGTGGGGGTCAGTTATAGCGAAAGTAAAAGTTGGAAAGGCTTTTGGTAGGCAGAGAGGGGGTAAACGTCAAACCACGTCGGACGGCTTCGAGAACTTCGCAGTAATGTTTACCTGCCAGTGTCGTTTCATAGAATAAGTAATTTTAAATTGTTATCGGCGGAACCGGACAATCGCATGTATTTATGGACTATAAATAATTATTAAACATGTATTATAATATTCAAATCATAATTTTACAAAATCTGAACAGCTATTCACAATATATTAAACTATTTACTAGGAATTGTTATTAACATCTATAAAATAATTTTGTACCCCAATGTATCGCGTCCACTTTGGTGAGATCCGCCGCAATCCTGTCAATTTATGTGTATAAAGTGGGAGAACTGACAAAAGCCTTTCCAACGGAAAATATCTGCGATATATATTATAAAGAGTAGCGGCCTGATGACCGATCTCTGAGGAACTAAACAATTGTTGGAATGGCTTCCATGTGCTCCAACCTAAAAGTTTCTATTACTGAGGGAATTCTTAATCCACTTTAATAGACTGCCTTTAATTCCATTATGTTCTAATTTGCAAAAAAGCCTTTGCATGGGTACAGTGTCGAATACTTTTCCAGAGTCTTGTTAAATTACATCTACTGGATACCCTTCATTTATTGCTTTGGTCCAGGCATCTAGGTTTGGGAAAGAGTTGACATCTCTTTGGCAAGAAGCCATTCTGGTTTTGGAATCTTTCTTTGTGTTGATGTATAATAAAATCTGTTATTTCCCATGATATAATGTTCTCCATGACTTTACAGGTAATGAATCGTCTTTTTCACCGTGACCTCTTAAGGCTAATTTCAATTTTCTGCAAAACTTCCTTCAATTTTTAATTGTAAACAAACCTACTTTTATCTACTTGCTTGTTATACTTTATTAAAAATTTTGCCGAAAAGTTGAATCGAACTGGGCAGTGATATTAGCAGTAGGTACCTAAAAATGCTGGTTCTGTAGAAAAACTTACATGCAAATACTTTGTGCTTTTTAATTTTCTCATTTAGGAGCTTTATATCCTTAAATCCTACTCTTGATCAGTTCTATCAGAGGATATTAATAAATAAGGAAAGCAAAACAATGCATTCAGAGTATCACACCCATATATCCACTTATTTTTATTATACAGTTGCCATGAAAAAATAATCTTTTGAACTGTTGTCTGCCTGAATTGGTTTTGAATCGGGAGTAGGCCTTCCTAAAGATTTAATATGACATTTTTCAGACAGAAAAATCTCGAAAAATTAGTTTTCAAAATATGTTCGCCATGTTATGAAAATGTTGTTATCTAACCACTAACCACCGAGGGTTAAAACTCACGAACACGTCAGACGACGAGAACATAAGATATTTTCAACCCAATAAACGTTTTTGTGTCACATAAATAGGGTATTCCCAAAGTAACATTTGATGCTTTCCTAGAGCTTAGTTGTAAAATGTGTTGCATACATTTTGAATACTTGAAACGTATTCTTGAATATATTTCAAATTAAGGTAAATAAATCTATTCTATTATACTAATATATATTTTAAAATAGTATAATATGTGAGAAATAAAAGGTCTATTTTCAAAATTAGAAACTGGTACGTTTTAAATGTTTTTTCATTATACCTCTTTTAGCTTTACATGCCTATTTAGCGCACCGAAAATGGACTTTTTCCGTGCGATCGCACAGGAAAATTATGATTTTTAATTTGTTTTTAACGTATTCGCTGTTATATATTTTCCTTAGCAGCAATAAACAATATTTTTTATGACAGTTTTCATTTTTTTGAATTCTTGTTAAACGTATTTTTAAAATTACGCAAATTGTACCATAAACCACTTACTAAAAATTAAGATAATACGTATTTTTTCTACACCCACATGGATATTAGGTTATCTACGCACAGACTACAAAATGAAAAAGTATGCTATTGCGTTCAACTAAACGAATATAATATTTCATATCCATTCTAGGTAGTTAGAACACATGAAATCCATCACCCAGCTACTATTATTTGTAACATTTTATATAAGTGACAATTCTTTCAAACTAAATGAGTTATTCTTGTGTTGAATGTATAAATAATAGCATTTCTATTTTTATTTCGTCCACATTTCGAAATAAATCTTAAATTTTAATCAAACTATATGAAACTAATTTAATTACGAGTATTAAGACTAAAATCCTAAATGTGGCGATGGAGGTTAGGACACGATGTCTGTCTTCCACACAACAAGCCCGGGTTCAAAACTGGGCCGAGGACTAATTAAATAAAATCTTTTTTTTGTTTACTTTATTTTATAAATTAGTAAAATTCATAAATTATTTTAAAATTACTAATTTTGTGATAATAACCTAATATATGTTTTTTAATTTGTAGATTTTCGGTAGTGAGTCGTAGAAAAAATATACGGTACAACTCGAGTGGATTGTCACGATCACGTATTTTGAAATGAAAACCTTGTTCTGACATTCTAAATTAGATGGTCGCTATTAATAAAATATTGTTCCATTAATAAACAAACGATGGTATAGTATAGGCAAGTAAAATACCTAAACTTGAAGGGGAAACCACTAAGGTCAAAACGTGTCTGTATTTAGAAATCACCTAAACAATTTTTATGTGATTTCGCTGATAACACAAGTTGACAAAAAAAATTATTTTTCTTTTGGTTTTTGTTCTAATGCTTGAATTCTGATTCTAGACATCAACAAACACTTACATTTCCATTTTTAACTTTTAAAGTTTGCTTTTGTCTGATTTGCATCGATAAGTAAGTTTTAAACATTTTAATTTATTTTATGAGCAACAGATGGTAGCACTCTGATCAATCTTTGTGAATGGCACAGTAGTGAGAGTAGTGAGTATTTATTTGTCTATCACAGCCACAAAGCACATAGAGGTTCCACGTGAATGACCAAGGTCAAAACCGACAACTGACATTTTTTATGCTATTTGCTCCAAACTCTAGATGGGGCTACTGGTGAAATTCTGATTTCTTACTCCATTTTTAAGCTTTATGAGAAAAACTTAACCAAAGACTCCAAAGATGTGACGTGTATTTATTTATGTTTTTGGTTAGTCTCATTTTTCCGTCTGATTTTAGTGATTTTTTGTTGGCTTTTGGTTTCTGTTTATAGTTTCGTCTTAGTTATTTGCAAAATTGTGATGTTTCGCTTTTCTATTTGCTACTGTGTTTTGCAATAATTTTGGTGCTACCTGTGGGTGCTACGTTGATAACTTCGAGAAAAACTTATTGATTCACCATGCATCTGCATCATAAAAAGACAAACGGGTACAACAACTAATTGATAATCAATTTATCACTGGACTAGATTCCGAAATCATTTTTCACATAAGAGAGTAATACACAAAGCAGTGGAGTAATACCACTATCTGTATTTGGAAGGCAAATACCTATTTATCATTGAATGAATAGTTAAAAGGATCCACCTTTTAATACAATACCTATATTACATTTGTCCTCGGTTTAAAAGACATTTATAAAATATATTATTTTAGTGTTAGTAAAATGTAGTATCCTAGTCTCTACTTCACATTTAAATTATTGATAGGTATTTTAAAGATTTGAGATTGTATACCTATTTGCTGCAAGTAAGTATTCGTTAAATATGTATTATTTGTATTTATTTTTATTTAATAATATTTATTTGTTATTAATAAACATATTTTAAGAATGTTCTATTTTATTATTTATTGATATATCTTATATTTATTTAATAATAATATGCAGAACCAACTCTCCACATCAGACCCCTGCTTATAACAAATTAATTCCTCAAATTTGGTATAATCGACCTAAATTATTTTGTAAAATAAAAGTTTCGAACTTAGTAGTTCCATACTTTATTTTATAAAATAATTTATGTGGAAATTTAATTTAAAATTACTACCTACTCCTAAAAATTACAATTTGAATTTACCGCCATCTGTCAATTGTCATTTTAGTTCCAGCTCCAAACACAAGGTGGCGCTAATTTGGTTTAAAAGTTTAACATTGGCGTGGGGTCTCTAGAAGATACGTGCTTTGTGATCACAGCTGTAACAACCGCCCTTGTGTGTTACTAAGTTAGAAAATGGCATCAAGACAGTGTAAACGTCGGACCACAAATAAAACAAATAATGAGCAGTGATGAATTTACAGAATTCCTCAATGCTCGTGAAGAACAAGCCTGGACAAGTCTTAAAGCAGTAGTTAATGGTTTTCTTGATAACAACAGAGCTGACAATTTTAAAGAGTCGGTTGGAATTATGCTTGAAATTTTTAAAATTATGGGCTGCAGAATGTCTCATAAACTTCATATGCTACATTCTCTCCTGGATCAATTTAAAAACAATATGGATGCCTACTTAGAGAAGCAAGAAGAACGTTTTTACCAAGATGTGATGTACTTTGAACAACGTTACCAAGAGCAGTACAACGAGAATATGACGGAAGATTACATTTGGGGTTTAATGCGAGAAAGTCCATACAAACATAAGAGAACTTCTAAAAATTGTCATTTCTGAACTTGATTTTTGTTATTTTACATTTATATGCTATTGTTTATCACAATTCTTGAATTAAAAAGACTTTGATGTTCGGCAAAAACTTTGTTAATCGTTAATAAAATTATAAAAATCAGTCATTTTTCTTGAAAATTCGAAAAATTGCTCTAGTTTCTACATAAGCAAACTTTGATAAGAAAAATTATGTTTTCCTTTATTTGTAACATAGGAGAAACCAAAATTTCATATGCAGAAGTCAGACCCAAAAATCGTGCCAACCGGTGTAATCCACCTTAATTTTATACGATGACCTTTTTTGGGTCTATTTCCTTGTCTTTTGATCCATATATGCTGCATATACGATTTTGAGTGACGAATTGATTTCGGTGATTTCGACCGTGATTTTCGATGTTGATTTCGGAATTTTCGAGAAAATTTGTAGTGATTTCGAGTGAAAATGTACCAGTATTTTGGGAATGGTTTACTCCTCGCCCAAACTTAAATGATCAAATAAAAATGTCTTGTCATCAAGTTCTGGCACTGTCACAAGTATTAAAAGTAATTGTAAAAAACCAACTTCAAAATCGTCCAGATGCCAGGATTTTGAGGATTTTCTAAGGGACCCAATTATTAGATTTTGACCAAATTTATATGGGGCCACACCTGAGACACTTCCCTTTCTAACAAAAAAAGAATCGTAGAAATCGGACAAGGTGGCAAAGAATTATCGCTAAACATATATAAAAATGAAGAATTTGAGGATTTTATCATGGACCCAATTTTTAGATTTTGACCAAATTTATATGGAACCACCCTTAAAGAATAATTGAAATCGGACACCGCGTTAAAGAATTATCGCTGAACATGCATAAAAAAATATACTGAAGAATTGAGAACCTCCTTTTTTGAAGGCTTTTAAAAATGGTAATTTATTAATTTTCTTTTATAAAACGTCAAGTCAATGGAAATAATATTTTAATCAATGATAAAAATTCTATCTGATGCTTATAATATTTAAAAAATTATAACAAGTAATTTTACAGTACCCTTTTACTAATAATATCGTGTTTTTAAACAACCATCTTCCCCTTGTACTTTTTTTAACCCTCGCTCAAACGTGACTCTGCTAAATTTCAAATATGTCTGCTGGAATGTAATTATCGTAGGTATATCTAATCAATGGGTTGCTGTTCTACAACATGTAACATGTGGTTCAACACAAGCTTTTTTTAGTTGGTAACACAAGCAGGAAGCAGAGCCTTTAGGTGCGTGCATTATATGATAACAAATCAATTTGTAAATTTTAAATTGAACTAAGAAACAACGATTTTATCTGTTAAGTAAAATAAATAAAGAAAATATATCTACCCCTATCCAAATCGTCAATTTTGTTGAAATTAATATTTATTAGCTGTTTATGACATATCTAAAAATGCGAAAATTATTTTCACTAATTAAGATAGTGAAAATACAAAATGTATTAGAAACAATTTTTCGAAGCGGAAGTTGAAAAACATGTTTTTTTATCACCTACTGTTATCAGTCAAATTCGAAATTACGTTTAAACTAAATCTTTGTTTTTCTAGATTGTTTAAATAAGCATCTAATACCTACGTTTGAATTTTTAAAAATTGTGTCGAGGATTAAATTTTTTTATAATTGAACTGAAAGTGTATACGCAATATTTTTAATTTTTACATGTGTTTATGTCACATAGAAGATAGGTATGTTTTTTTAATTTTTAATTCTGTGGGGGAATTCGAGAAGGGCCAATGTCAAAATTGATACGATTTTATGTTAGTGAATTAGCTGTTTGAAGTAAAAAAGTCAATGTACATAATTTCTAATCATCTTTTATAGCTAAAAAAAAGAGCCTACGTCATCGACCTCTCTTAAACTCGCCCACAGAAATGATTTACATATCATTTTGATAATTGAAAACATATTTGTTTAATATTTTTATAATATATGCATATTATGGTTTAACATAGTAATATTACATAACTAGCATATAAAGTAAAATATTTCGCACGAGTACGAAAATATAACGAGTGCAAAAAATACTCTTTTTTAACCAGTTTTGTACACTATTTTTCGTACGACCACAACGCGCAATCTAAACGTTACATTAAATTTTAAATTGTCGCTGTTGTGTTTTTTATTGTGAATAAATCGCGCTTTACTTCAACCAATTTCTTCATAAATAAATTGGTGAATAAATTCATGAATTTCTTTAAAGTGAAAATGTCATATGTCATATATTTGTCAGTTTAACAAAAATTTACCAACACAACAAAAAATTGTAAATGTGAAGTTAAGTGTTAACAAGTAGTAGATTCATACTATAGGTCCGGTCACGGTCAGATCACGGTCAGGTCGCGGTCCAGTCAAATATTAGAAGCAATTTGTATTAAAGTATTCATATTACTCTGCACGGTCAGGTAACGATCTAGTCAATTGACTGCACTCTTTCTTTCTGCGAATATTTTGAACTTATTTTTTTGGAGCTTTCGCTTCTCTCTTCCTCATCTAGGATGTAAGCCATTATGGCCAGGTCTCTTGTTGAAAACATTGCTTGTTTTAAATTAACTGAGAAAAGACTGATGAGCGACCGCAACAATGTGAATAGTTCATAAAAAAACCTGACCACAGCCGAACCGTGACCAGACCTATAGTATGAATCTACCTTAATATGATCGGGACCGTTCACAATGATTATATCGCCTGTAGGAACAAACCTAATAAAAACAAAACTTTCAAGGTAAAATTGAATGATAAATAATATGTTCTATTTATGATGAAGAAATTTATCAATTAATTGTAATAATTTTTAAATTTACATCTATCAGATGCAAAACCCGTATTAGTAAACGTGAATTAATAAACCATTGTCATTATTTGGTATAGTTTTATTGTGAAATGCCATTAAATATTCAGATGATTTAGGAGCTAAATCTGAAAAACCTAGATACTTTTTAAACATGTCAATTTGAAGTCGCAAATAAATGTTCCATTTGCAGTCGATTACGAGAACGATATAGAAAATGTATGAGCTTGATAAATTTTGAATGAGATTGATACAAAACTTGAACAAAATATTGGAGAAGGTGATTGATCCCTGTTCACGTACAATTAACGTACTAGACCGGTTAATTATGACTGATATCACATGAGTATCTCGCGCCATATGACTGTTGAAGCTATAGTTATGTACCATATTAGTCATCTATGCATGTTCATTGCCAAATATGTTCTTCCAGTGGCATAGAAACTTTATATTGGCAAAAAGTAGGTTGATTATCTATTTTTGTTATAATCATCTATGTTTATAATGTTATTTTGTTTATTGTGAAAATATGTAAGCTCACTTACATGACTTCTGAATTTATAAATTATCGTATTCCATTGATTCTGCAGAAATATCAGTGGACTCGTCTTTATCGTCGGGACTTAAAGGTATGACTAAAAGTTCAAATACTGTTTCAGTCTACCGTTTAAGCTCCCTATTAATGTCTTCCTTAATTACGTGAGAAATAGGAATCTGGTAATCTTTTTTTATACGTTCTAAACCGGTTTTTAATAAACTTAGGCTATTTTAAATTATTGTTTTTTCGAGCCATAAACCCTTTCACTTGCGCCGAAATCAGATCAATAGGATTGAATTCGCAGTGATAAGGTGGAAGAATTAGTAACGTAACATCACGATCACGACCCAGACCCATTGTGTCGACAATATATGGAATATATTTATGGCGTTGTTCCTCTATAAGGTCCATTGATTCCACTTTAAGCATTTCCTTAGTAAATGTTATTGTTTTATACCAAAGCCAGCTTTGTAGATCTACTTTCCTACTGAACATGATCGGAATGCGTTCAACTCGTCAGCTGTAATAAGAAGCGCTATCTACTACAATAACTGAATTTGGTTCTACACGCTGTAACACTTCAGTAAACCACTTTTTAAAGCATTCTACATTCATGTCCTGGTGGAAATCTTGTTTGTTTTTGATATAAACCAATAGCACTGTTTTTCAAAAAGTCACTGTCACTTCTTGTATGGGTAACAATTAGGCGCTGTCCTTTATCTGTTAGTGTTTTCAAACCTGTAGATAATCTATCCACAAAAGCTTGGCAGTGACTCGTAACAGAAGTATCTTATTTTAGACACCGTGTACCCAGCATTCGTCCACGTTTCATCAAGATAGTATATCTTTTTTAACGGCACTAATTCTTCGTAAATAGCGCCCGTCACCAGGACATTATATCTGACCTCTCAATTAAAATTGATTTCCTACACCGTATGACCAACATTTTTTGTAAAGTTTTACGGCTGATCCTCGTTTTCTCTTAATTTCGCAACAACAGCTTTAAAGGTTTGCGATTTATTTAAAAAAATATATAATGTACATTTCTTCATATTATTTGTTTTTGGTTATCGTTCAATTTTAGCTGTTTTCGACCCACGGGTGTGCGTTTTAATAGTTTGTAAGGAGCCTGTATTTGTAATGTCGCGTACAACGCGTTCAACTGTTCAAACAGATACTCCAATTAAAAAAGAACAACGGTAATTTGTAGAAAGTATCTGCTTCAGCCCATCATACACTTTCCATGTAATGTTTTTGTCATCTTTTGATACGGGCTTTTGCCGTCGTAATAAGGTTCCACTTGCACCCGTCTCTGAATTCGTAACTATTGTAACAATAGAATTCTCCTGTTATTATTGTTTTTATAGAATTTATAAAGAGACACCTATATTATATGTACTATTATTTAAAAAAAAATTATCATCCAACTATTTAATACACTTTTAATGCATCTATACTACATAATAAATCAAATTCGTCGAATATGCACTAACGCGATACCAAATTGTAAGTTACAAACATGAACTAACTGTATCAGACAAGAATACTTAAACAAAAAATTGGTTATTTTCTTGAATTGAAAGAAGTCAGTTTGTCATAGCTTTCAAATATTGGGCATTGAGTGTCGGAATATAGAGCAGCGGGGCGTAGAGAGGACATCAGGACGCAGAACGTCGTATAAGAGAGCGTCGTGACGTACAAAGGTAGGGAAGTAGAGACGTAGAGCGTCGAATGAGATATAGGGCATCGGATAAAAGAGATGACGTCGGGACGTTGAGTATCGAGACGTGACAACGTTCAGGAGATAGGTCGTCGGGATGTAGAACGTCGGATGGAAGAAATGACTACGGGACGTTTAGCGTCGAGACGTGACAACGTTCGGGAGATTTGAAAGTAGTGAATGACTGGGGTTTGAAATCAATTGAACTGAGTTTGGTTTCTTAATGCATCGAGTCTTTATACCCGATTTAATGACTTTGTTACGTCAACTCGTAACTCCAGAGGGTGGATACTTGCCTTGAAAAATGTGTGTGTCGAAAACAATGTTACTATTAAAACTTGACTTAAGATAAGTATGTTAACTGTTTCAATGATTCGTGACAAAATTTATGTTGTATGGTGGTTTCTGGTTGGGTTCCCAGGCACTTGCAAGAAAATTGGATCTCTTACGGACAGGGTTATAGATATTATTTATTAGGTGTCTTAAATAAGATTTAATTATCTGGGAGATTTTTCGTTAAATGAAGGAATTTAATAAATTATGAAGGTACCTGGGTGCGGTAGGTTACACATTTTACCAAAAATTTTACTCTATTGCAGAGTTAAAAAACTAACTTTAAGTAATTTGGCAGTTTTGACTCTTGTAAGTGATCCACAAATGGAAGGACGTTTTTTGTCTGTCTGTCTAACTAATATGAATGTAACGATCAACGAAATTCCCAAGAACGGAGATGAAATGTTTTTAAGAGATAAGGGTGTCTGTTTATAATAACACTATTAAACGTAGATAACATAGTCATATTAATTTCTTTACTTTTACAAAATTTGATTTACTTTTATTTATTTTTAAATCGTAATTTCAGTTTTTTTTCTTAACGATTGTCTCTATATTTAAAAAAAAAAACTATCAAATCTTTAACCTTTGCCGACATGTCCATATTTTTCTTTCATAAATAAAAAATAAGCCTAAAAGTGGGGGCTATTTTTCATATTAGAGAATTGCCAAAGTAAATATTCCAATTAATAATATTAGACTGTATATTTAACACATCCTCTTTGTTTAAATAAAGATTTTGACAAAGCAATTCAAAGCGATTCTCGGCTGGTGACAATTTTTTTTTATTTCATATTTTTTTTATTTTATAAAATCAGTAAAATTCATAAATAATTTTAAAATTAGTTATTTTGTATTAATTACCTAAAATATTTTTTTTTAATTTGTAGATTTTCATTAGTGGGTCTTAGAAAAAATATAGTGTATAACTCGAGTGGATTGTCCATATCCACTCTTGTTGCACAAACTACTATTGTGCTCTGTCTAAATGGCATAAACTTCAAATTACTTACAGTCTAACCACCCATCAAATATCAGACACATAAATTTTTATGAACGTTTTAAAACCGGCTGTTTGTGTTATTTCTGAAAGCAAAGTGCCCTAAAGTTGTTTTATATCTTTAATACAATATTATGATGACTCATTGTAGATAAAAAAGGATCCATAAAAAATAAATTAAACCATGACCGAGCAGAACAGATACGAGTCATGTTCGTGTTATGGCCCGTTTTTTATTCACCGACTACCGTTGACTTCGCCATTCCACCAAACGCGTTCATAAATTCTCTGATGGATTTCAGATTTGCTAGATTTATTACCGGTATGTTCACCAGAATTGCAGATTTATCCATATCCATCGATATTTTGAGGTGGTGAGCAAATATGGATTGTGAAAAATGACCGCTTAACTTCAAAATTAATTTCTTTCCTCTACCTCTCGATGGAATAAATTCGCTTACATTTTTAATTAAATCATCGCCCATTTTTCTATAAAACACAAAAACTCGTAAACCTAAAACGACTTGAATAATTAACAATAAAAAAACAGCTCTGTCAAAAATGACAATGTACACGAATTATTGCCGTTTTTTTATTATCATAAATCATTCCATTAATAAACAATTTAAGACGTTATTATGACAGGTTTAAAAAAAAACTCGCCTATAACCATAAACGTCTCTTAATTAAATCCAAACTAACACTTAAAATGAATAAGAACTGTAAGTTTAGACATGTTTTCTAAGCTCAACTTTAGAAATATTTTCCTTCGCTTGTCCTTGATATAATTACATTGTAGTTTCCTTGAGTAAACCTAGAGTAAACAGAATACCCCATATTCACTGCTCCTATCGTGTACCAAACCTGCATATCATTCCTTTTTTCGTGCTCACCAGCAACGGAATAAATTATATTTAAAAGTGAATTAAAAATGCTAAAACGCGCTCATTTTTCTTAAGATCGGGATAAAAATAGTGCAAAACAAAGTTGATAAGGTGAAATACAGGAACAAATAAAAAGAGTATAGCTCTAACGAAGAATCAACAGGTAGGCTGTTATTATATTCATACGAACTTGCCTCATTACTGTTAAAACTCGGCCTAACATGTACGTTACGGATAACGTAAACGTTCAATCATAGGACCCAATATTTTAAAAATAAATATTTTGCTTATTATATAGATAGGTACATTTCAAGATTTTGCTAATATGTTTATTAAAATATATCATGGTCACCTTGTAGTTATCTTTTTCGTTATATTTAAGCAACGGTTGAATCATGACATATCGAAGGCAAAATTTTTCTAATTGATAAAATGTATAGTCATATTTTCATGCTGATAAAAAAAAGTTGATAAAAATGTTCGCTGAGTTGATATTCAAAAACAATCATGTTGAAAATATTTGAGAAATATTTTTACGTAATTTGTGACTTTTTAGAATGATTAATGTATTTTTTACTTATAAAATAATAAGTATTAAAATATTTCACAAAACATAAAACTCAAAAATAAAAAACTAGAATGAAATTTATTTATTTTTCTTTTTTTGACTTATCGTGCAGACAGAAACGTGAAATCGGACGGACGGGCATTTTGAAAGTTTGTTTAAAATTTGATGAGAAAGATTTTAATACAAATATTTTTAAATTTGGATCAATATTAAACATTTTGGTTTCTCAAAAGTAAGCCTATAATACTCTCCACAGATTACTGTCCCGAAATTAGACGGTCATATTTTAACAGCATAATCTACATCCTAAAATATGAGTAAAAGTTCATATAAACATAGATCCGAAAACGTTTCTTTTCCGAGATACAGGGTGTTAAAAGTGCAGTCCTGATGACACTCTTTTGTAAATATTTTCTAAACGTTTAAAGATAACTAAGTAAAATTAGGTACAAATGCTAACGTTTTTACGCTCTATCTAATGGACTAAACCCCAGTTTTTGATCATCTTCATAGGTGGGTAAAGTAGGGGGGCTTAGGGTAAGATTGCCCTAAGTTTTTTTTGTTGACGGTTTTTACCATTTTTGACTATAAAATTTGGAAAACCAATGTTTTCTTTATAATAAAGTTACTATTGTTGCATCTCGCTAGGACGCACCATTTTCAAGAAAAAAGCATTTGAAAATTTCAAGATAAGGTATTCGAAAGTGTAAACAATAATTAGTAGGCCTGTGAAATCAGAAATTTAATTTTTTTTTACTTTGGAAAACCAGTGACTAAAGAAATTTTAAAAAATATTTACAAAAATATGCCATCAGGACTTCACTTGTAACACCCTCTATCTCGAAAACGAAACGTTTTTGGACTTATGTTTATATGAACTTTTATTCTTATTTTAGGATGTAGATCACGCTGTTAAAATATGACCGTCTAATTTCGGGACACCCTGTATAGTATAATAACGATATACAGTATCGGCCACTGAACGTTTTCCAATACGTTTATTACAAGTGCTTGTGATGGCCGATACTGTATATTTAGATAACCATTATATTAATGAACATCTTTTTATTTTAATAAGGGTGTGAAGAATTTTAGTTTCTTATCATGATTATCACTTAAAGTTATGTGCAACTGCATTCCGGCAGAAAGAACATCAGCTGGAAGTCTGAGAAGTCTGGTGAAGATATCTTTACACTAAAAAATTAAGTACTTGTAAGTAGTATAATAAATATTTTGGATCGAAAAATCTGTCAAAGTTCTGTTACGTTTTGTGGTTTTAACTAGTCTCTCAGATATAGATTATGTTAATAAGATGTTCCATTTTTTTGAGTCACCAGTTACTTTTGTTCGACATTGGTAGAAGTAACTTTAGTTAACATTTGCGAGAATTTGAGAACGATAAACTTTCCCCATTTCATTATTCAACCTCGTTACTGATACTTGAGTTAGCTGTAATCCTAGTTGGATTTTGTCTGTTTACAATGCCAAATCCATTTCATTCCACCATATAATTCAATATTATTGGTTATTGATAAAAAAAACTTTGTTAATATTTCGCAGGATCCAAAAGTTCTGATTCTTATTTTTTGATACAATCTGATTTATTATTTAACATTACAGAAGAGGTCTACAGGTACATCGAATTCTGGTACTGTATAAATACTCCCTATATAATATCGTTCTCTCAATGTCTACAACTCTTCCTGTTCCAAGTAAATTAATGCATTCCATTTTACAAAACCATAAGACAAAATATTGAAAACTACAATAATTCTTTGTTTCAGAAACAGTTCACAATGGATATAGAAACAGAACCTGGTAATGAGAACGACACATCACGAGAACAAATGAAGACCTCCAATGACAAAACTACGCCGGAAAAGCCCAAAGAAACACATAATCACAAAAATACAAAATCCAAAAGGAGCAGCAGATCAAGAACACCTCAGAAGAAACTCGAAGATCCGAAAGTTTTACATATGACTCTAAAAAGAATGGACGAAGAATTAAACGGCAAGAAAGTAAAAGAAGAAAAGATGGAAAGCAGAAATGGCGAATCGCAGAAAATTGAAAATGGGGAAAAATTAGAGGACACGGAGCAAGTAGAGGATAAGGAGCAAGTAGAAAACGGAGAAAAAGTTGGAAAAGAAGAAAAAGTTGTTAAAGGTGAAACATTTATAAAAGGAGAAAAAGTTGTAAAAGGGGATCAAGTTGTAAAAGGGGAAAAAGTTGGAAAAGAAGAAAAAGTTGTTAAAGGTGAAACATTTATAAAAGGAGAAAAAGTTGTGAAAGGGGATCAAGTTGTAAAAGGGAAAAAAGTCGAAAATGGAGAAAAATCTCCTAAAGTAGACTTAACAAAGGAGACAGAAAATGGTGAACCGGCTAAAATAGAAACAGTGAGGGAGTCTACAAGTGAAGCAGAAAATGGTATGTGTTGAAATATATACCTATAAAATGATTATTTATTATTCATTATTAAAATCTTATATTTATTTATGTATTTAGAGCAAATATTGATACATTCTTGCTTGAGAAAGAACCTATGTTTCCTAAATCAAACATAAATATTTATATTATAAATGGCTTAAGGACGGGGTATCCATCTGATTTATCGATGAATCTGTCATCTAGGAGGTGCAAGTATCATCAACTGACTGAAGATAACATTCATGTAAACAATTATATAAATCTTCCAACTGTATGTAAATTTCGACCTATTAGCTATTATAAGCGAAAACCTCGTTATACAAAAAAAAAATAATATACAATACAAAAATATATAGTGTCTAGCCAAATATTTACATACTATAATAATACAAATATTTACATACTACAATAATACAAACCTATTGAGATCTATTTCTGTTTTTATAAAAGAATATAGATTGACAGGAAAATCGATATCTAACTCCTTGGTCTTTCTGACCATTCTTGACAAAGGATTAAAATAGAAATAATTTGTTGATTGAAATACCACAATAAACAAGTCTTTATTTTTCGTGCACCTTTGAGGAATACGGAACTGAATAAGTTGCTGCAATTAGTTAAACCCGAAATCAATTTAAATATTACAAGGTCAATAGTTAATCTACGAAATTCCAGCGATTCTTAATTCAATGATCTCTGTATATTCTCATACTCATATTCCCCATGTCTTAATCCCAATTTATATCCACAGTATCTTATTCTGAACAGCTTCAATAGACGAAATATGGACATTGTAAAAAGGTGTCCAGATGGGCAATCCATATTCGAGAAGGGATCTGACATATGCAGAATATACTATTTTGACTGAATTTATCGAGAGACCACTAGAGTTTCTAAGTATAAATCCAAGAGTTTTTAAAGCTTTACCAGTGATCTGATTAATATGTAGGTTAAATATGTCAGATTCTCATCGACAAGTCTTTTATCTCTGTTACTCTATTGATGACCGTATCGCAAATAGAATAATCAAAGATTATTTTGTTGTGCACCCTACCAAATGTAATTGTGTAACATTTAGAAATATTAAGAGACCTACAGTTTTTCACAGACCAATTATGGAGAGCTTCTACATGAATTTGAAGAAAAAGACAATCAATTATATTACGAATAGCTATGTAAAGTTTTAAGTCATCTGCAAAAAGTAGAAAATTGGCATATTTGAAAATACTACCACTGTCATTGATGAATCGTAGAAACAACAAGAGCCCTAAGTGAGAGCCCTGTGGGACTCCAGAAGGCACCATAATGTGGTCTGAATTACTGCTGCCAATCTTTACTGTCTGTATCCTACCAGTTAAATAGATTTTTAGCCATGAAATCAAAGGATCAGGAAAACCTAAAATATTAAGTTTGTGTAATAATAATGAATGGTTCACACGATCAAAGGCTTTAGAGAAGTCAGAATAAATTGTATTCACCTGCAGATTGACACCAAATTGGGAAAGAATATCCTGCTGATAAACCATCAAATTTGTAACTGTTGATTTACATCTGGGAAAACCATGTAATCATCAATTATCAAATTATTACAATACCAAGAAATATCACAGACAATTAATTTTTCAAAAAGTTTAGGAATAATGAATAGCATTCTAATAGGTCTGTAATTTTGAATATCGTTTTTGTTTTTGTTGCCATTTTTGAAGATAGGTACTTACCACATAACTACTTTCCCAGATGTCTGGAAAATAATTTAACTTTATCAAGAAATTAAATAGTAAAAATAATGGAAGAGTCAATGTGAAAATATATTTTTGCAGAAAGAACAAAGGATTTCCATCTGGTCCATGGCTTAATTTTTCGTTAAGATTTAGTATACCATTAAAAACTTCTTGTACCGAAAACTTGATAGGATGAATATGAAAGGTGTTTTTAATATCTAAATTAATATTTGATAAGTCTGCTTTTTCATAACTGTAAGTACTAGAAAAGTGTTTAGAAAATAAATCAACGATGTGTTGGGAGGTATCACCTGCCTTATCATTTAAGAACATAGTGGCAGGCAAGGAAAAGTAAGTTTTTAAAGATTTATAATAGCTCCAGAAAAATTTGGTATTTACATGGATTGCGCTGACCACTCGAGATAAGTAATTACTGTAACATTGTTTAGATAGGAACTTACACTGTGCCCTTAAGTTTGAGAAAATACAGTAATCATTATGGTTGCATGAGTTAACATAGCAGCCATTTTTTTTGTCCAAAATATCCTTTTATGCACTTTGGTATGCACATGTTAGTCCAAAGGAAATTACATACATTTCAAATTGACTGATTTTGGAAAATATTTTTCTTATTTGTTTGATATTAAATATGAAATACTGATAAAGGGCACATTTGGATAAAATAAAATAGGGTTTTTAAATGATTTTATTTTTATTTAAAATAAATGTATCAATTTTCTATAGTAAGAAAATTAGTCGATTTATCACATTCCGTTTTTATACACAAGGGTATCCTGTCCTCAAGTCTGTTATTAAATAAATCATATTCAGATTAGGAAAAAATTATACGAGCCATAGGCACTGTGAGTGAACATCCATCTCTATACTTTGTGTACAACGCCTGCCACCTCTCCTGCGACCTGCTAGCTTAAATAAAGTTCCAATTTAGTAATGCATGAACTATATTGTGGGCCATTGTTCTTTCTAATTAAATAAAGACAATATTTATGCAATTCCCTAGATTCTAGAATTAAGAGCAAACCAAATACTTTGTAAATTTATAATTCATATTGAGCCTTTATTTTTAGTCCGATTTTTGTGAACTTTTCAGGTAATACCAATAATAACAAAAGTTATGGTGGATAAACCTTGAATTTCTTGTAAATCTTCAAAAAGTAATTATTTTGAAAATTTTTGAAAGGAATTAAAAAAACCATTTAAACGTCATTCTGTATCAAATCTATAAAAAATTGCTTTTTGTAATATTTATCTAGTAGTTTTTAAATTCGATAATTTCCCACCTATTTTTTCTTAAACGTCTCTGTAGAGTGCTGACGTATCTCTCAATATTGTCAAGACACATAATATCACGAAGTATTTCCAGTTGCACGCATATAAATACAATTTTATATTAGAAAATATTTAAAACATATTTGCTCTCGCCAGAGGCCCGGTTGGTACTTGAGAATTATTTGCAAGTGAAAAAAAATTTAATATTTTTGACCGTTAAGTTTGCCATTAATGAAAAAGTGTAAATAATCAAGTCAATTAAAATACCAGTGCAAACATTTAATTTCTGAGGATACTGTGTGTATGTCGGAATACTTAAATGTTTATTTTCCCGAGAACAATGTCTCACTAGGGATGAATTGTTTGTTGTGCAATGAAAAAAGTTGACTTGTTGATAAATAAATTTTATTTTAAAGTTTTAAATTATGCTATACCTATTGTAACGAGTGACAAGTAGGAATGTTTATTTCGATGTTAATTAGGCATTCCAATGACCTGTCAAACAATAGCTGCCAGTGGGAAGGACTTGTATATGGGCCCGACAAGAGCAGGGGGGAAGGGGGGACAAATTCCCGGGGCTCTGGCACAAGGGAGACCCGGCAGCTTTAGCTGAGGACGTTTGTGAGGACCTTTTTTTTCAGATTTCACTAAGAAAGGATCTTTTTTTAACATAGAATGATTTTTATAAAAATGCCCCGATATAGCAGTTAATTTTGTTTGACATAAAATATTTAAATGTAATCCATTATTTATGATTTCATGTATTGTAGATAGAATACATCGTATGTCGCAACTATTTAGACTTTTAAACATACCAAACCTTCCCACCAACAGTTCTTTTTTTTGGAATGCCTAATTGTACATGTTCACCGATTCATTTACAATGCTCTCCGACGTTATAAGAATATTGGCTTGCAATTAATAGAGATGAGAGAACACACTGTATGGCCTGTATAATTTTTTTTTTTTTGAACCTTTATTTATCTTGTATTATAATAATAGATCTTGAAAAACCTATCGACAATGGTTTTAATGGTTTTAAAGAAGTCATCTCAACAGAACCAGAAAAACCCGGTAAACAAGACTCCAAAGAAACAGTCGAAATGGATCCTCTAGTAATAAGCGATGAAATAGATGCAGAATTACAATTTTTGGAGGAAAATTCCGACAAAGATTCGGGCAAAGGGTCACCCTTGATGACTAGATGTGCCACCAGGAGGTCTTACACTCGCAATATTCCTACACCAAAGACGCCGAAATTGCCAGATCAAGAAACTGATTCGGAAAAAAATTCGACTGTTGATCAATCTGAAGAGATATGGTAAATATTTTTAATGAAACGTCGTTTTGACATCACATAGTGTCTGGACGTGGTTCTGTAAGATGGTTTGATTAGGGAGGTTTTTTTTTTTTTTCAGTAATACCGAGTAGGTGCATGACTTAATCTTGACTTGAATGGACATCTACCACCACAAAGATGGCTGGTATTTTATCACGAAATTGTTCATATCTATTAATACTTATCCGATTTGCATAAACTTTAGTTAATATGTTTACTATTTACAAGATGCATATCAAGCTTTATTAACTATTTTTTTTTGTTACAAAAAGATTTCTCTATATTATGAGTCTTTAAAATTTCTATTGCAACAAATTCAATACTATAACAATTTTTGGAAATCTGATACCTAGATGGTGTATAAAACGATTTTATATTTGTTGGGTTGTCGCAGAGCGCCCTCTAGCTATTTTATAATGTGAAAGATTAACCAAGGAAATCTCTCTTTACCGAGAACGAGTTTGTTAAATTCAAATAACCTAAATTGGCGTATCAATATTTAAACAAAGTTTGGCGTGCCACTACCACTTTACTTTTAAAGATGAGTAAAAAAAGCTCTAAACAAAAAATTTCAAGTTTTCTCAAAATTATGATTATGTATATTAATTTCTTGTTCGTTAGTCAAATAATAAAAAAAAAAAAAAAATAACAGGTCATATGCGTCTTCTCAAAATTAATTCTAAAATTACTTTTTAGCTATTTTTCATAGTTGCTTTTACTATAAGATATGCAGCTAACAAAAAATTATTCATGCTCAAACTATCATACAGAACCCACAGTCCTGAATCTACATAAATATTCCTAAAGCATCTTTAAATATTTACCTACCTATACATTTTTAAAGAAACGTCAATTCACAGAAAAAGTGGAGCTGGACGATGTCATGATTTTTCAAACACACAGTGAATCGTTACAGTGAATAGTTTAATTAAAATAAACGAGGTTATGTTTCTTTAAATTTGAAAAACATGAAATCGATAGAACATGTAAACTATATCTGCTTACCAATATTTTTAAATATAAGTAATTAAATAACAGTTTTTGAAATGTCGTCCAACTCTATTAAAGATTAATTAAAGTTTACCAATCTATAGCTGAAAAGTACGTATAGTAGAGATCATGTATAAATCGGCCGGAATGCCTATTAACGATTTTGCATATTTTTAGTAACCTACCTAATGACATCCCGATACCAAAGACGGACAATCCAAACGACACTAAAGACTCTCTAGACACGGAAAACGCTTCGATAAAAGTAGAAGTCGGTAGTGATTCTACACGATTGGATTTCTCGGAAATAAATAACTCCACGGAACACGATTTGAGCTACCTAAACAGTTTGAGGGACAGAGGTTTGTCGTCTAGGCGGCCAATAAGAGGATCAGAAGATTACAGGAAGAGGGTTTTAAAGAATACGTATAACAAATCGGATTTGAATATACTCTACGATGAGGTTTGTACCATTTTAATATTGTGGCATTATAGGCGTTGTATTAGGGACGTTTGCACAGGTTCTACCTACGATTAAGGTTTAGCCTTAGATAAAAGAGACCAGAGATATAACATATACCGGTGTTTAACCTGCGCAAATGTTGCCAATTTCTATAGAAAGATTAACGGAGTGGGGGAACTAGGCGGTTATCCGAATTCTGTGATAGTTTATTAGCATCTTAATGAACTAGATTTACTTAAAAGATATTTAATGGAATTTTGTATTATGCAATAAAATTAACGTGTTTTTTTAATATCAAACAGTTGCCACGATATTTTATGTAAAGAGAAGACCTTCATTCTAAGAAATAACCGAAATATCGATGAAAACAAATTCGAATTCCGTTGAAAAATCGAAAATAATCGATTAATCGAAAATAATCGATTAATTTAAAAAGCCGATTAAACAATGAATCGAATATTTTGAATAAATCTACTTTCTTTTTGTAATTCCTTTATAATCGATTATTCCATTACCTTAAAAAAACGAAAATAATTTATTGAAAATGTTCGATTAATCGAAAATAATCGATTAATTATAACGGATAAATCGATTTTCATGAAAAAAAAAAAAAACGATAAATCGATTATTTTTGTAACCACTATCGGTCGCTTGCTTTTATCCGAGCATTTAGCTCCAAAATTTAGAGATTCGGATTTTTTAATCCTGTTATCTTTGACACCGCATTCGATTGTATAATAAATAATGCTAGAATTTAGATTTTTTTAGTAAACGAAGATTTTTTTTTCGAGTTGTTTAGGGGTTTATAATATAACATTTTATTAATAATATGACTAACTTCTGTAACTTTAGTTTTTTTTTTGCTTATACTAGATCATATTGCGCGTTTTACTTTGTTTTAAGATTTAAGATTCAAATGTTACTTCCGATTTAACCGCAAATGAGATGAACCTTAAAATATTAAGTAGGAAGTAGGTGATCCTGTATTTCATCTAATATTCTTGTAAAAATACCTCATAAAAATAAAATTTCGCTAGTAACTGTGCTTTTTTGCTCCTTATTTATTTGCCAAAAAGGGCTAAAAAAACACCTTTAGTAAATATTCTTATAAAACTACTTTTTAAAAACAAAATTTCGTTAGTAACAATGCCTATTTACTTCTTATTTAGATTAAATGTTTAAAATTTTGCTCTTTTGTAAATATATGCATTATGAAATCTATTTTCTGAAATAGGTATTATCTATTTGATACTTAATATTTATTGAAACCCCTTAATGCGGATCTGAAGTATTCAGCTCAAAGGCTCATTGCGACTTTATGTCAAGACGGTTAACAAATATTTACCGCTGAAAACGAATATATTTCTTATTTTTCATAACATTGACACTTATATTATTTGTATATACAATTTTTCACCATACATCGTGGCATTTTCAACTTGAAATTGAATAACTAAAACACTTTAAATTGCTAATAACACCAACAAATAATTCAAAAAACGGCGGTCCATAAATGATTTACTCACGCCGAGACGAGCGTAGAATAGAAATTTCGGAGCAATTCGGGTGGCATCGTGGACATAATGATTTTTAATTGGTAGGTTACTTAGGGTTGGAATAGACAACGTGCGCGATGTGCAATGTTACATCTCTGGTCTCTTTTATCTAAGGGTTTAGCTAAGGAATATCTTGACTTACGGTGAACTCTAAATTTGATGTGGTTTGCAGAAGTTCCATTTAGTAAAATATTTGTTAAGTTGGGGTACATCTTGGCCGCAATATTACATTTTAGGGGGTTTTTAGTATTGCTATAATCACTGTCAACATTACAGCGTCAAATTGTTATTTTATTAACACTTTAACCGCCGTCTCCTCGGAGAAATTAGCTCTCCTCGAGGCTGACGCGGTTTATATGACCGAGAAATGTTCTGGAACAATTGCGTAACATAATCCAAAAAATGATAACTTTTAACCCGTATGGATAAGCCTCCGGCCCGAACGTAAATTGCAATAACAAACGTGCCGGCAGTCAATATGTTCTGATCACCGTATATCGATCATCAAACAGTTCTGAGTAAATGCCGTGACATAACCATTGTATCATTATATACGGTTCACCTAAGAAGAAGTGATGCAAATGACCATATATCTTTAGAATGTGACATGTAAGATTAAGAAATTGAGTAAATGCGGAGTGTACATGTGTTAACTAAAAACAAGCGAATCCTATTAATGGATCTAACCTACTTTGAGGTTCAGGGTTTTTGATTAATTTTAGCCATTTCTTTCTTGATTCGTGATTTACGAATCACATAGTAGATTTGTTTCATATTTGGCAGTTATTTTCTTAAAGGTAATCAATATATTAGGGTCTTAACAAGAAAAAATGCAGGTCTGCATTAGAAAAATTATTCCAGTCTCAAACCAACATCCTGCATAAAGGATTTATATACAAATTTATTTATGGGTCAAAACACATTTTACAGATATGTATATAAAGTTCCATAACAAATGTAAAATGACTGACATTACAGTGAATTATAAACTACTAAGTAAAAAAGAAATATAAATAAAAATAAAATAGAAAATATGTAACAAAATAAAAACAAAATAAAAAAAATAAAAATATTCAACAATTACATATTAACATGTAAACTTTTTATAGCCCTTTTAAAAGCAGGATGAGAATTATGGACAATATCAATATTCTGATGTTTGTTAAATAAATAAAAATAAAATAGAAAATATATAACAAAATAAAAACAAAATAAAAAAAAATAAAAATATTCAACAATTACATATTAACATGTAAGCTTTTTATAGCCCTTTTAAAAGCAGGAAGAGAATTATGGACAATATCAATATTCTGATGTTTGTTAACTAATCGTAAAATTCTGGATATTGTCTCATTTTGTCCGTAGTTAGTGTGATGAAAATGTATACGAAATAGTTCAACATTCCGCGTACGTCTTTCATTTACATTGAAAAGTATCAAGTTCAATAGTTTGGAATTGGATATAATACAATTTAAAATTTTATATAAAAAACATTAGTCATATTCTATTCTCCTGTGCTCCAATGTTTGCATGTTTAATTGGAGAAGAATATTTTCATAATTTATATCTATTCCGTTTATGCCCATTTTGAAAGAACAAATCCGCAAAAATGTTCGTTGTACTTTCTCAATGTGATTAATGTAAATAACATAATTGGGGACCAAACAGCGCAGCAGTATTCTAAGTTAGACCTGACCAAAGTCGAGTACAGCAGTTTAAAAGTATTAATAGAAAATTGTCTACTGCTCCTCTGAATAAAACCTAGCATTTTAAATGCCTTGGAGGTTATTTGACTAATGTGAGTGTTAAAGGTAAGCTTACTGTCCATAATAACTCCCAAATTGCGAACATTGTCGTTAGTTTGTAGCCCACAATTATTAATTTTGTATGAATAGTGAACTGGAGAGGTAATTCTAAAAAAGGAGAACTGATGACATTTTTTTACATAGTACAACACATTTACATCACACCAACGGGACAATCTATATAAATCCTCTTGTAGTAACAAAGAATCTGTTTCATTGGAAACTGATCTAAATATTTTCACATCATCAGCAAACATGAGATATTTACTGTTAGAGATGACACTAGAAAAATCATTAATAAATAAATTGAATAACAACGGACCCAAATGAGATCCCTGCGGTACACCTGAAGATACTGTAATTGCCTCCGATTTGCAGTTACCATATTTAACATATTGAATCCTGATACGTAAATAACTATCAATCCAATTTAATATAATATCACCAAACCCATATCCTCTTAGTATGGCATGGTTGACTCTGTCAAATGCTTTTGAAAACGTCGATTCTAAGGATTGTACGATGAAATAGTTATAATTCACTAAATTTGTACAAATTGCCTTTCTAATTTGGAAAGAATGCAAACAACTTAATTAAATTACATGATTTATCTATTCTGCTTTTCAAATTCCATATTTTTTTCAATGCTATTTTTTTATTTTCTTTATTAATTTTTTTTTATTAATTTTAGGTTAGTACGGGTGTGAAACGAAAGAACAGAAGTATGACACCGGAAGATTCGAAAAAAATCCGTATCGACTCTCCCGGATACAGGACCTTTTTCACCAGCCCTTTCGCTAGCATAAAGAATAAATTTAAGACCGACGTGCAGTCTAGCACACCGGAATTATTAGGTTATAAGGATGACAGGAGCCATTTACATTTTAATGATAATTTAGACTTAGCGAAAATAGAAGAGGCTGGAGACGAGGAGAAAAAGAGCTGGTGTTCGCTTATGTAATGCGCGTGCGTATAGTAGAACGTGTAGTAAGTTGTGGAGATTTATTAATTTTGTAGTGGAGTCATACGAAGTTCAGAAATTTTCAATGCGGTCGCAATTAAGACAGCTGTATCATGTTAATCGCTGTTAAATAACATTTCTTGCCAAAATGTCATATATTTTTTTTATGACAGCATTTTTAATAATGTAGCTCAAATAATAACTCGTAGAATGATCTAGTTTGAATTTAGATGAGTAAATTTAGTATTGATAGTAAATTACTTTTTTTAAAAATCTACCAAAAATTAATGAGTAAGAAATTAATATTTAAATTTTGATTACATTAGATTTCTTTAGACTGAAAGTAGCATTTAATGAGATGTAAGACTGTTAAACAATGCCAAATTTTGTAACTCTAGATGGTCTGTTAATTTATTTGGTAAGCACTGCCAATTAATTTCCTAAAATCGCGTATTGACTTGGAACATTTTTTCGCAAACGAACAAGTTAAATCTCATCTAATATTTTTAATAAGTTGGAACCATATGAAATGGACAAGAAAAATATTAATTATTTTAATATCATATAACTTTTTAATTCTTAGACTGATTTTGATGGCACTTATTTTGTCTGTATTCCAGTTTTCTCAAAATATTCATGATTAGGAGAAACCGGATTTCTTATATTTAAACTAATTGAATCCTGTGGCGAAGTACGTTTTTCAATTAAAATTATAGACGAACAAATTTACCTGGATAATATTTTATTATGTAATTTTAACAATATAAAAAATGTCAGTCAATATTTAGGGAGATAATTAGGCAATCCAAATCACGTGACTATAAATGGTAGAGCCTTGGCCAAAATAACGAAAGTACGTGTTTCCCTTGACAAAAACACTTCTAGTGAGGTTTTTAGTCTAAGTTTGTTTTGTTTTACAGTGTTGAGTTTTTTTAGGTGTGTTTAGTTAAAAATGGGATAATTTAATAGTTGTTTTAAATATATGAATACTAATAATTGTGTTATTTATAATAACACTGAAATACTAACGAAAAAGTCAGGTTAATAAACTTTGTTGTTTTTGCCAAGCATCAGACATTTTCGTCCTAACCTAACCTAATTCCTTGGCTCTATTATTATACAGAATGTCTCTGCATGGACTGAAAAAGAAAAAACTTTTTTATAATTAAACACTAGAGAAAATGTTATTTTTCAAACAAGTTTTTGCTTGTTTGCATATTTTTTATGATTTATTTTTTTGCATTTTTTGTCATTCAATTTCTGTTTGGATTATTAGTTTTGAAAATGACTGAATAACATTTTTTCAAAAAGGTGAATATAAAAGTGTTTCCACCTCTTTTAGTCCATTCGGGAACACCATGTATATGACTTGAATATCAATAATACTAAAATTGTCCATTCTCTCATTATATGAGAATTTGATTTATAAATATCTTCAAATCCAAATATATACAGTTTATTCCTAAATATCAAGCTAATGAAGTTATTAAATCTGGAAAAAAACTAAAATTAACTTTTATAAAAACAAGTTGCTTAGGCACTAGTGGATTTTTTTATACCTCTTGACTTTGCACAACACATTGTGAATTGTCTTGTATATCTAAAATTAATTCCTTAATTGCTTCAAAAGATTCTTTATAGAATAAAGCTGTTTTAATCCATGTTTCCCATTGAGTAATTACAGGTTCCGGGAACAACCCTACTCCTACTATTCTTTCCTTGAACAACTACACTCTTAAAGGGACTTTAAAACATTTTTTACATTCAAAATTAGCTTATTTACCAGGAAGGACTCTGTTCTGGCAGTTTCTGAGACTAAATATATTTAATGCAGAAGGTAACTAACATGGACTATATTCGAATAAAATATTGTTAAGTTGTGTCCCACTTTTATTATATAGCGTCAGACAAAACCACTAAGAACTTCTCTGATGGAATTGCATTTGGTAAAAATAATTCTGATAGAGATTGTTGAACATCTCGGGTTTGAAGCGATTAAATATGGTTCAAGTTCTTTTAAGGCTCCAATCATAAGATGTATGATATATCGACCATAGGTATATGTACTTTCATCAACAATGATATAAAAAATTTCACCTTGCATATAAAGCATGTATTTTTTTCTTAGTGTAGATTCGTCATTAATAGTGTGTTTGCAATACTTTTGTAAAAATCCTTTTAGATGCAAATTTTTTAAGGGAATATTTGTTGCAACAAGAGCTTTGTACAAGTCCTGATTAAAAATCCTTGTTACTTTTTGTTATGTTGACGTTTTGAAATTACCTTATAATGCATTGTTGAACTGGTTGTGATTTAATTTTTTGCAATTTGGCTTTATGCAACGATATTTTCACGTGTTTTTTTTTTTCACAAACAACTATTTTGGCACAAGCTTTGCAAAACACTTTATCTCCTTTGAGCCACAAGTGTGGAAAGTTCTCGACATTTTAAATACACTTTATACAATAAATAATTACAAGCAGAATATCTCCGATACTCTCGCACTAAACTCTATCTTTAAACTGAATTAGAATTACACTCTAAAATATAAATATTTCATGATTGTTAGGTAGATTATTTTGAATAAATTACTGGGCATTTTAAAACAGTTTAATTGCATTATAGGTACCTTATTTGTGAAAATACCAATATTCTAAAGTAGGTAACTACCCAATCCAAATATTTCATGTTCATTATAGATTATTTTGAAGTAAATTACTGGGAGTTTTAAAACCATTTTATTGCATTGAGGTACTTCATTTCTGGAAATACCAATACCCTTGAGTAAGTAAATACTCAATCCCTCGTTAGGTAAATGCTAAATGTGTATATTCTGGGGAAAATCCTCCCTAATATGCATAGTAATACATTTTTTTTTTTAGAAAAAATACAATATATTTTGTACTTTACTAAAATTTGCAAAAAATGTATAATGCATATATTCTACTCTCTAAAAATTATAACAAAATACTAGCATTTCCTAAATTTTTATTACACCATTTATTCAATAATAATATACATATAAATGTAAAAAAAAGATAAAAGGAACTTAGAAAAAAAATTACCTTTAACATTTTATCCTGTCTTTGCATAAACAGACATATTTTTGGACATATTTCTTGGAATCCCCTAAATAAATTTTTAAAAATTATCCCTACGAAATATTTAAAACTATTTTTAAACCCCCTTACAAAGTTAAAACAAATTTAATTGAAAATTTAAAAACTGTCCCGGGCTGGGATTAGAACCCGCCTATTCGTGTTTATCGTGATTATCATGCAATTAAAAATATATTTTTTATGGTTTAGTATTTTTAAAAAACAGCGTTTCTGATTTTATGGACTTTATTGTGAATGTGTTGAAAATTTTTGGAACTATTGTACAAAAATATTTTTAAAAATGTTTCGAATCTTTTAATGTGCGGACAAGAAATTTTTGTCTGTTAATATATTTTATACAAATACAAATAAAATCTTTCCTTGAAAACCAAGCTTCTCCACTATGTATATATAACATTATTTTATAATTTTATGCAGGTGATCCGTTTCTAAATAAAAAAAAAAACGAATTTTTAATTATTTGGTTATTAAAAAAAAGAAAGAACTGGATGAAAAAAATAATTTTTGGAAATATGGTTCAAAATTTCGTTTCTGAAAAACGAGCGAAATATATCACTCTGTACAAACATTATCATAATCTCATTCACATGTAGATCTGTAGAACACATTTCTAAATTCGTGAAGTACAAAGAAATAACATTAATGCGAAATGTTTTGTTGAGTAAAATTATTATACTTATTATTGTTTTGCAGTATTGTATATTTAATGTTTCTTTATTATATCAGTTATTTTTATTATTAAACAAAATATTTTTCAAATGCATTCCTTTTTGAAATATTAATACCAGAACACATTTTTTAGAAAAGCGTCAACAATGTCAGCACTTTCAGCTGGTTAGGTTAACATTCTTGATTTTTAAATGCAAGGATTAAGCCATTATTGTTTTGTTTCTCCTTAACCCAAGGGGTGAAGCACTCCCGAAATACTGGTACGTTTTCATACGAAAACACTACAAATTTTTTCGAAATTTCCTAAATCAAGAAAAATTATGATTCGAAATCATCGTCGAAATTAAATCGTCGTTCAAAAAATAAATGCAGCAGGTTGTGGATCAAAAGATAAGGGAAGAGTCCAAAAAAAATCATTGAGGTCATCGTATAAAATTAATGGGGATTTTTGGCGAAATTACAGAAATAGAAAATCAATTTTAGGTGATTTCAGAAATACAGGTACGTTTTGACTGTAGTGGTTTTCCCCTCGCCTTAACCTATGATCTCATCTGCGTTTTCGTTGTCATCAGGCACATCTTATTTTGCTTTGTAATGCATAAGTTTTATTGTTCTTGTCTCCTTAGAATTATTTCTGTATTTTCTTATTAGCTCGTTCAGATTAAATATGTCCTTTCTGATATTATCGCTCCTTTTACTATTTCTTAACATTTATCTTATCTTAAAAATTCAATTCTTTCAAGGGCCCAATTTTTCAAACTCAAAATAGTCTAGGGACTACCATGACTACACATTTTTAAAGGGTCAACTACTGATACTTATCTCATGATTTTGAATATTCTTATTGTGTCACATCATCGCACATCCGGTACAACAATACTAGAAAGTGACTTTTTAGTCACAAACTAAGCGTAACTGTCTTCTGCATCTGATACAACAATGTTGTAAATATAACATATACAGTAAATGAGATAATATCAAATCATTTAACTTTTAATACATTTGTTTGTTGCAACGAATCTGCTAATATCTAGAATATGATGTATTTCATGCGAATTTCATTATTTGTAACATATATTGGTCGTTAACAACGTCTATTTCATCTTTTCTTTCTGTCATGTTCCTATAACATCATCTATACAGATGTTTAACAGGGTAGGAGATAATTAACATCTTAACTTATAGTTCCTCATCTGACTGTAAAAAGTGGCG